TACCGGTGAATCAACAACAACCGTTACGTCTGATTCTATCACTGACACGGCTTCAGTCGTCTCATCCAATAATTTCGATGTTGTCGCTATTACTTCGGGTGCTTCTTCTACGCTCGCCTGGAACTTATATTTTAGAACTTCCATTATTCTTCCTCTCAATCTAACAGTTCTTCAATCGATAATCAGATGATTCAATGAATCGGATTTTCGGCAGATGATCGATAATTGAAAGATGAATATTAGAATATAAATCAATTACCTCAACTGGATCAGTTGGTTGCACCTTATCATTGACTACCTAAAAATAAAGAAAATATTATTGTTCAGTTATTTCCCTCATCCATCATATGAGATCTAAGTATATATAAGGTTAAAAACACTTCTCAGAAGATCCCAAGCAAGCGATTAGAAAATTTTCATTTGAGAATTTTCCCATTAAACCAATAGATGAATATGACAAATGAATGAATGTTTCATGAGCATACCTCTTGAACAGGTGAATTATTCAAAAGGTTCTTCAGATGTGGATCTAAATTCAGATGCGTTCGCCCTTTTTTCTGTTGTTCGCAGAGAATCTTTCGAATATATTCGGCCTCATCCATCAACGTCTCTTGTTGAGCCCATGACCTTCAAAACTCATCACATTTCCAAAATGGTATGAATCGCCATCGAGAGGCGCCTTTCAGTTAGCAATAAGCAAACTTCTAACAGACATTCCAAATTATAACCAATGATATGACAGGCGATTTCAGTGAACTGAATGGGATCAAGTACAAATCAAACTCAAAAAAAATTTCCAGAGCCATCATAATCTCACATTCAAACGATGTGAAACGAATTTGAACTGAAACGGGATGCATCTTAAACGATTCATTCGTTTATTCGCATCATTAACACCAAAAATTTGTTCAACATCGATAAACTTCTAATCCGAGTCATTACCTTCTCTTCGCTGCCCTCAACGTATCTGCACGAATCGAAATTTGATCACTCATCGTCACACGACCGTTATCGTCACATTTCGAGCTGGTTTTATCGTTTGCATTCAGCAAAGCTTCTTGATCCAAAATCTTAGCCTCATTCCATAAATTGTGCATATTTGTGGATCTTCTCGAGTGTTGTTGCTGTGATTGTGCAGATGTCATCGATGGAATAGCAGATGGCGTTGAGAGAATCTGTTGCGGACTCAACTGCTGTTGGCCAACATTTGCTGACGAGCTTCTCAGTGCAGACATGTTCTTCACACTGGCCACTGGAACAGATGTGGATAGGTTCGGTTCAGACTTCTGCACGAACAGTACGGGTCTTTCGACCGCAGGAGCGCACGTCAGCGATGGATACGGATCCTTCGGAGGTGATGGCGACTCATCACGATTAGTTGCTACCAGCTGTTCGTTCAGTAGTGGTTTACGGAAAACAACCCTTCAAAACAACACATGAAATTAGAACCGATAATCAGTAATAAGCCTCTAAATATCCTAAAAGACTTGATATAGAGCAAATGGGACTCACTGTATCGCATTGGAAACGAGAACATTAAATGGAAAACATTAAATGTTGTGACAAAAGAGAAACTTTAACGCGAAAAAATCGCCTGGTAGACTCAATACAATCTATGAGGTAAAAACGATGTATAGGCTAGGCTAACTTAACCAAAACAAATCGTGAATGATAGAACGAAAACGGCAAAAAAGTCACAATGAAACATTCAGATAACGATCGATAAACGTCAACTACCGATCTGTGAGATCCTTTGAGGGCGGCGAAATTACGTTGGTGAGCGTTTTAAGCGAGGACGAAGATGACAACGACTGAGGTGTGGGCGGAACAGGCGGGGGTGGAGGAGGTACCACAACAACTGACGTGTTGACCGTTCGCTTTTCATCTGATGGTTTCGTTACGACGACCGTTGGACGTGTGATCTGAAAAGCAGACAGTAACCCGAAATCAGAGGTAACAGACGTCGAAAGCGCATTTACTGTTAGTCTTCGGCTATATCTGGATGAAAAAAAGTTAGCAAAAGATCAAGAGGTCGATTTCTTTGATAAATCTTACCTGGAATGGCTCCACCGACGCTTGAGGTCTTGATGGTGCAGCAGCTTCACCGAAACTACCGCTGCTCATTCTTGAACTGTTATCTTTCTGAAAATCGCTCAATTCAGCGAAATTCTTTCATTTCACTCCATTTTTCAAACTCCTTCATACAGAAACAAATTCAAGTTCCACAAGGAATCAGTTACGTAACTCCTACATACGTAATCAATAACTGTTCATAAAGCGAGCACAATACACAGATCATGGAAATTTGCGACAATAAAATTATGCGTCATTCAACAGCAAATGGTGTAGACATAAGCCATTCAAATGCACATTTCAAATTGTGTTCTAAGAACATCATTAGTGTGAAAAGAAAATCAAAAATTTCACTGCAGAAAGAAGCAGTCGGGCAACTACAAAAATAAAGAATATAATGACCTTAATCGGTCGATTCAGTGAGTTGGTTTGTGAATTGAATCGGTTTTGCTGTGCACGTGCCGCATTCACTGCGGACATCCGACGTCGATACAAAAGATCCAACTGAAGAAAACATCGAATGGAATGGATTCCTTTGATTTGAAACTAACCGTGAAAACACTTGACTTGGTTTCAGAGAAACAGTTCATGGTTTCCACATTTGAAGAAAATACTTCCGTAATCTATGTCATTGCGGTCAGACGATAGTAAATACAGAATTTATAGTGAATTTTGTACAGATATGTTTCAAATATTGTAGTGGAGCAGCACATTCCAATGTTTACCTGTGATTTGAGTGAATCGATTCGAGATGCGGCAGTCCGCAATTGATCTTCTTGGGACGTATATGTATTCTGCATTTCATGTAGTTGTTTCTCAGCCGCCAACCGCCTCGCGAAAGTTTCACGTGCTTCACGTTGAATCGCATTCAAACGTGCCATTTCACGCTCTTCACGTAACACCTAACAATTCATCAATGATGTATATATGCGTGTCAGAAAGTCTCTCACGGAATGAATCGTAATCCAACATTCGATGATAATGAATACAAAACGACAGTAGAGACAGACTTGCAAACAGCATATGTTTACAAAACAATTTGCAATAGTGAAATCGTGGAAACAACCAACTCGTGGTTCATTTCTATACGACCGTTTCAGCTTTATTTGTTCGAGAGTGTGCTTAAAAACGGGTTACTTCATCGCAATTCGAAGGTTTACCTCATTCCGAAGTGCCGCTAATCTCGCAGCAGCATTCTCCACCCGCTCAGGTCTCAGCTCTCGCTGCTCGATTTCTCGTTGATTCGCATCGATCAACCGTCGCTGTTGTTCAGCCATTCGAACGATTTCGTTATAGCTGAAAATTTAAAACGTTNNNCTAACTTAAGCACTAAACTAATCGCTTTTGAGGACAATAATCAAATTACGGCTGGTTCTATGAGGAGTAATCCAAGTTGAATGCACATACTTAAGACGTTGTTACTGACGCTTATATAGTTGTTACTGCATTAGAATAGCTAACGAGCCAAGCAACATTGAGAATAAGCAATACGCCTCAATAGGTGCTAATGAATAATTAGTGGCTGATTGCGCATGATTTCTTGATTCAAGTATTTCTCAATGCTCAAACTGTCACCTCAACAGATGCATTCATATTGTCGTTTTTACAATTATCGCATAGATTTCTAAACGTTAGATTTGCAACACAATTTGAAATCGCATTTAACCTAATCAAAGACCAAGGAACCAATTGAATAAATGATAAAGATTTCATGTCATTATGTGATCTGCATCGAGACTCCAATACGACCAACACATTTAACTCACTCCTAACGTTTTATATGCACAATATTTGAAGTAGTTTCGTATAACAGTAAAAT